CACATATATAGATAATGCACACAATCTGCAAGCACGGGTGATATGTAGTAAAAGGCTAAAGAAAGGTAATAGTTTAACGACCCTAAGCATCCACTTGCTTAGGCATTATTGGGGATTTGGATGGAGGAAGCATCATCGGGGTTCTTACTACGCCTTGTTTGACAGACGCTAACTCTTTAAGCAATATCCTCTGTACGTCTGGAGGTATAACTACTTTTTGCAATAAACAACTTAGAAGAGAAAAAGAATCTCTTGACTTACTTTGGATATCCTTGAGTTGGTGGGCATTTTGGTTAATTTAGTTACAACCTTTTTGCTATTGGCTAAACACTTAATCCCTATTCGATCCCACAATACGAGGCCTTAGTACCCATAGAGTAAGAAATCCTCATTGACTACGTCTTAATAAGAGAAGTTGTTAACCACAACACCCAGTTCTCAAGACTAGTATGGCCTTGTTTGTTTGCTCTGAGGACAATTTGTGAAAAACAATTCCGCCTCAATAGCAATTGTTTGAGTTGAAATAAATTTTTTCGGAAACAAAAAAAATCGCCCCGAAACGTTCCTTCTTATCAGCAGACCCTCTGACTATCATTCTCCACTCACTTTTATACTCACATCTACACAATCAAAACAAATAACATAATAATAAATTAAAAATCAAAATCTATCCACAATCCAAAACCTACTTCTTTCAAAACATACAATCAAACAAATTTATCACACTTTTATACTCTTCAAAAAATATTTTTCAAAAATTGTTTCACAACAACACATAACCAAACCTGCTATCTATAGTACTCTTATTCACCCTATTTCATCCATAGATACACCTCCTGAAGCTATCCATGTTGTTCTTTCTTTTGCAATTTCATTATTCCAACCTCATGCGAATACAGCGTAGATACCTTGTTGATCTATGACCTCAAGGAGAGCTTGTCACTTAGTCCTTGTGTGTTGGCTCTAAACAGGCCTCTTAGAGTATTACATAGTAGTATCCTGCATTGCAGAACAACCATAATCTACAACTAATCACAAATTGCTATTCCTCCCACTAGCTTCAGGTGATTAGGTCTCTCATTGCCGCCTTCTTATTTCTAAGTTGCCTGGTCTTCTCCGTTCACCACCTCTTCTTCTCCGCAATCCCCAAGCCTCCTTCGGCTCTCTGGCTCTATTCCTCTCTTCCCCTAATGCTAATACTTGCAACTAACTCCTCATACCCTCAACTCACATGACACCTCCTAAAATCAGCTGCTGTGGGATCCACACAAGACACACGCGACACGTCGGACACCCATAAATGGTCATGTCCCTTTAATTTAATGCTTTGTTGTAGGAGTAATGATAGTGGCCACGCCTATCCATATGGCATACTGACATGGACATGCAGGCAATTTTTCTGTTTCTTTGTCTACCTCTCTTATTAGTGCTTTTTGAAGAATATTATGATGTTTAATATTTTCCCCTTCTCGTTCTTATTTTTTATCGTTTATTAGACTTTTTGAATGACTATGATCCATTAATTTGTTTTAAATGTATGATATATATTTATGAATTAATTTACTAATAGTTAATGTAGACATATTTCTTCTGATTTAGGAGAATGTTAATGATGAATTACATAACAATTAAATCATATAAAAATTGTGTTAATTTTTCACATAAACCTTACCACCTCTACCACCTCACCGACTCCACTAATACCTACCCACTAATACCACCTCACTTCACTGACTCTCCACCAACTCCCAAACTCACTTTCCATATAATAGAATCCTGATAATTGCTAATAAATATATTAGAGTCTATCCAGACAATATTCATTCAATCAATCTAATACATACTATTTAAACCTGGCGAGCGGTTTAGAAACCTTAATATTTCGCTCACCGGCGCGGCTGGCAACCTCACTAGCCGTCCGCACCGGACCTCAATCTAGTCGCTAAAATTCTCTACAAATTACCTTCATAACCTTGCATCTGCCACCAATGCACTCTATTCTGCAATTAGAAGGTGCACGTGCCCCAACACCACACACACACACACTTCACTTGGTAGAAAAAAACCTCTTGTTAAGTTAGGCTCTCGTAGTCTACTGAGCCATTCTATACCCTCCTCTTGCCTGTAAGCCCGATATAAAAGTGATCTTCGAAAGACACCCAGGCGCGAAACCAGTCGATGCTTTGTTCTCGGAGGCGGAACACTCATTTGCCGATGACGTAGGGCTCGCCGGATAACGCGAAAAAAAACCCCCTTCGAAGCATGTCGGCACGCCATGGGTGCGCTGCGGTAGTTCTGCGAGCTTATTTGCTCTATTAACTTAATACTGCACACTTCTCATGCAAGCTCTGATTGTGTATAACTCCTATCTACTGATCCCATCACAAGTCCAATGGCACTTACTAATCCATGTATCACTCACCACCACCTTCTTTTATTAGTTTTTTTTTTAACCACCACCCATTGTCATAATTGACAATCACTCTAGTAGAATATCGCTGATTGCCAACCATCATCCTTCACTAGTTCTATGAAATATATTATATATATAATATTTTTTTTTTGATCAAAAAAAAAAAAAAAAAAAAAAAAAAAAAACGAATGCAAGCGGAAGAATGCACACAACTTCTTTTATTCATGTCTGGTTCACCCGATCACCATTTTACATTCAAAAAAAAAATAAACCACAACAACAAGCTTTTTTTTTTTGTAGACGGCCACATCCGACGGCCTAACGTCGTCTTCCGCCGGTCTCTCTTTTGCTTCGTCCTTGGACGGTCCTTGACGTACTGCCATCTGTGCTTCCTTAATCCACCAAGCACATACTTTCCCCTGGCTCTCCACTGCAGCAATATGGCGAACCTCCCAAATCGGAACAGCACGGTGCGCTCCGCTTCAGCTCCTTGTTTTTCTCCTTTAGCACTTAATCCCTTATTTTGCTCGCGCATCCTAACATGCGTTGGAGCAGAGCTCCAGTTGGGCGTTTAATGCTGCACTCATTGTCCTACCTCTTGCAAGCCGGTTCGACAAGTTTGTACCGCCGTATGGTTTCTAACACATGACTTCAAACGTATAACTGATGGCCTCCACATCCGACTTACTGCCATTCTTTTGCTCCACAGACCGCTCGGAAAGTTCAACGAGCAAACTCCGGGCGCTTAGTTGAGATTCCTAGTGCCACCGCACCAGTTTCTCTCTTGTTGACTCATGAGGTCGGGAAAGAGAGTAGTAGACCGGATGAAATCTGTATTCTGCGGTAGCTGAACGGGAAGAAGAAGGCATGTGTTTAGATGTTTCAGGAAGGGTTGATACCAAAATCCTTCCCGAGTCGTTTCAGAGATGACAATGTCAGAGAGTTTCAGACTGTTCCACGCCTCGCATTATTTAATATAGAAATTTTAAATATATATATATATATATATATTTTTAAATGTCTTCTTTTTTTCCTTTTTTATATTATATTAAATTTTAATATTTTGATAATAATCATATGTGTTGAACTTTTCAAGGAATTAAATGTCTTTTTTATTATTATTATATTATATTAAAGTTTAATATTTTGATAATAATCATGTGTTGAACTTTTCAAGAAATTTTTTTTATGCTTGTTCTTAATGTATTAAAGTGTTATTATGAGGGATAATAATCATATGTATTGAGACTTTTCAAGGAATTCATATGTGTTGGATTTCAAAGAATTTTTTTTATGCTCGTTTTTAATGCATTAAAGTATTATTATGATGGTAAGACTTGGGAGTTGGGAGAAGTTAATAAATGCTAAGATTTTAAAAAAAAAAAAAATCAAAAAATCAGGAAATTTAGATTGGGAGATTGGAGCTCCCACAAGACTTGGAGTTAAAAACTCCCTTTTGCTTAATATATAGTATAGATTTGATGTAGGACAAGGGGCATAATGGTGTTTCGACCATTAAGCCCATCACTAGATTTCTAATCCCATGTATTTTCCTTCCATGCTAGTCCAACCAACGAGGGGGATTGCAAGTCCCCTTGGAGTGTTAATCCCACTACAATCTTCCACAACCAAATACCCTCTATGTAGTCCTCCCTCACTACAGAAGGTGAATCATGGCATGAAGTAGGTGATAGGTGCAATACCTCTCTCGAGGTATCTAGTTTTGGGTTAACATCCTTCTCTCTAAGACTAGTTAATGAGGAGTTGTCTTCCCTTGTGTACTAAGTAATGAACCCGTGATCTTTATGTCACGACCCCAACTCGCCCTTAGAGGTTAGGGACATGACCGGCCAGTAATCATAGATTACCTATGGCCTCAAAGACAAAATTTCAAAATATTTAAATAGTATCGGCACCTGAAGCAGAAGCAAAACAACAATAATGTCCATTGAGCTGTGCATACATGATAAACTGAAATATTTAAAACATTTAACACACTTTTAATATATATATATACAAATTCATATCTTATACATTTCACACACACATACAAGACTTTTAACAAAATACGAAACTTAGCGAGCTAGACAAAAGCAAAAGCTAATGCCTCACCACGGAGGCACATCTTGGGTGGCTTAACAAAAAAGGCGGACTCCGAGGCAAACTCTAATGCTGATCTTCTAGTTGCTCACCTACATATATATAAGGGAGAGGGGATAAGTTAGAGCCCAGTAAGTAATACCAAAATAAAGAGGTTAATGAATGAAATCCATTATAATATAAAACATGTCTTTCAATTTCAAAACGACTCTTATATCATTTTCAAACCAAAGCATTTGCCATATTTTGCATTTCCAAATATCATATAACAAATTGAAATCGAACATTTGTCATATCGAAATCCATACATTTTCAAATGAATCATATATCGAATTCAAACAGAGCATTTTTCATACTAAAATTCAATATCAAAGCATCATATGTGGTTACATCCAGTAGAGTAAAGAAGGGGCCAAAAGGCCGAAATCAAAGGGACCATAAAGGTCTAACAAAGGGACCACTTGAGTCTAACGAAGGGACCACTCAGGTCTAACGAAGGGGCCACTTGGGTCTAACATTAGAGATGTCTGTAATTCCATTAATCAAAGGGCCATGGTATTGTTTTCCCCAGGCAAGGGCCCCACTAAAGAATGTCACAAATACATTTCAAAAAGGGACATTCATTCATTCATATAAAATTCAATTTCATAAACATGATTTTCAAAGCATTTTCAAAATACTTTACGAACATATCTTTATAGAGATATTACTCAGAATGGACTTGAACGAATATTACTCCTCAGATGTCCAATCTACACAAAGCACATAACAAATACATATCGAAACATTATATTATTCTCTTGATCGAATCTTACTTCTCTTATCATTTCTTCTCAAATAAACTGAATTCTTACGTTGCTTCTCTAACCAATTAACTTATGTTTAGCTTATTAGCCCTCATGCCTAGGAATGCTTGAAAAGATATGAGAACGAAAATATGAACAAAGTGCAATTGTCCCAAACATGCTGAAAAGGCCTAACTGCTCGAGCCACCACTTGGTCGCTCGAGCAGACTGCACATTCTGCAAAAATACTGGAAGGGTCTAATGTTCGCTTGAGCCACCAATTGGTATGCAAAAGTTCTGAAAGCTCGTAATGTTCGCTCGAGCCACCTTTTGGTTGCTCGAGTGGTCTATAAAAATTCTGGGTTTCAAAACTGAAAGTTTGAGCTTCCAAACTCCATTTCAAAACTTGGGGTCATGCATGGCTTGCTCAAAAACATGGATTTACTTTAAATTTAAGACTTAGAATCCTCACCTAAAGCTTTAATCTTCAAAAATTAGAGATGATTTCCCCTTGGTTTCTTCAAGTCTTCTTCAATTTCACACAAGTGTTGAGCTCTTTCTCTCTCTAGAGTTGAGCTCTCTCTCTCTCTCTCTCTCTCTCTCTCTCTACAATGAACTCTCTAGCACAATGCAAAATGAATCCCCCTCTCTTGATTTCATAAAGCCATCAGCATAATACACGCACACACACCCCTCATGACTCATCGCAATACACACGTGTGCACACACCCTAAGGCTTCCAGCACAACACACACACACTACAACAATGTTCCAACACAACACATAGGGGTATAATCCTCTACACACCAGCTCACAATTAGTCATACAAGTGGGATTATCTTAACTCTTGATTACACAATTAGCTTAATTAAACCACACTTATCCATACTTAGTCTTAATTTATCAATCCCCACATACTTCAATTAGTCTAACTAATTCTAATTAGGACTCAATTAATCAAATCTTAATTTTAATAAACTGAATCGAATTTAATTAAACTCCCATATGGTTCAATACATGAAATTAAATTGATTTGACTTATCAATTTTATCTTCTTAAGCCATTTAGACCTTCAATTTCTGATCCTGAGATAAATCTTTAACAAAATCATATGCAAATCAGACTCAATAATCCTCATCAATTCCTCAATTAAATCAGCATAATAGGCAATTCAAATTCAAATCTCCATAATTAATTAAATATAGAATTCTATGCACAATGGGGTTGTCACACGTAGCCTCCAATCCACAATCCTCCAATGATCCTAAGCAATGGAGCTTAGGTCTTACTTTCAACTTAGGATGCCAATTGATGGCCATAATAGTAGTAAGTAGCGAGTGATCCCAACCAAGGGAGTGAGTGCATAGGGGAGACATAGGCAAGCCAAGGGCTAGGCTATGTTGCTGCTGAATGGGAGTGATTGAGTGGAAGCATGCTTGGGCTAGCTATGCTTGTGTTTGCTCCTTGGTATACCTTATAGAAATGAGGTATGAAGGATCATGGTTGAACGGAGGCTTGTCCTTACGAGCTGAGGGGTACCAAACCATGGCACTACCAAGTGGGTATGGTTGAGCAGCTGAGCTTGGCTTTGCCACATAGTGCTGCGAGCCATGCCTCAGGCTCTTCATACTTTGACTCATTCACTTGGAACTTTGGCCTACCAGAGCGGCAGCTACGCTAAAGTGGTGGCCACTCTAGTGAGCTAAGCAGTTATACTTGGTGGTGCAGATGACCCTACTTAGGCCAAGCATATAACTCCAATATTTTCGCTCAGGGATGTCGTGGTGCCTTGGGGTTTGACACATGGAGATGATGGTGGCGATGACATGATGACCTTAGGGCTTGCCGCCTTAGTGTTTAATGTTATTTTAAATGAGGGCATTATTGTTAAATTATCATATTCTGTTGTTTCTAATAAAAATATGCTCTAAGGTGGAGGGTTTAATGTATGGCTGAAACCTATTCATCGTATTCTCTTCTTTCTCTATCCTTCTCTTCTAACCCAAACTCCAATTTTTGTCACTTTACACTTCAACTATCATAATTACCCTTTGAAATTTCATTTTCAAGACTTCTTCCCCACAACAATTTTTGTCATAACTTGTAGTCATTCTTACATCCATCCAACTCAGTACATAGAAGCACTTATGAATGAACCCAAGCTATAAAATGCTGGCGGAGTTAACTGTTTGGTGTTTGATTCTTCTCTTTGGAACCATTTTGCATGCATGTATGCCAACATTTGCACATTTTATTTCATGGTCAATTATTTACTGATTATAGAATGCCTCCAATATCTTCAAGAAAGCTGTTTATCCAGATGCACTTTTCACAAAGCTTTGCATTGTTTACTAACGCGCTGAACTCCTAAACACATGCTAGAAAGAAGACGCAGCACAACAGCACCAGTTCATATTACATGCAGCATTGGATATTGTCCAGGACCTTGCATGGACAACAAGTGCTATGTGAGATTTCATAGGCACTGACTGTGTGTGTGTGTGTGATTTTCTCTCTCATTTAAAATTGAATTTACATTGAACACAGAGCAAGTGTGTCCAAATAGGTTTTTTGCTGTAGTGGATTTTTCTGTTGTCATTTTTTGTTTCACTGTCTTAATACCTTTTAAATTTTCCTGCCACATTCTTTATCCAGGTTCTTGAAAGCAATTGACAGATTCAACGATTTGGTGGTTTCGGTCTATGTTACTGCTGGTCATATCCTAAATTTATTTCTTGTTGATTCATTGTTGATCCTATCAGTTTACATTTCTCACTGCAGGTCAAAGTTTTATGTTACCATATGGTTTAAGAGCTTGATTTATTAGAGTTACGTGGCTCATTAATTAATCTTGATTTTATTATTTTTTTCTTTTCCTTATTGATGTTTATTTTCAGAAATTTCACATGTATTAAAACGCTCCATACTTTGCAACCTCTTTTCCTCCTGTGCGAGAACTTGCTTCCATTCTTACTGCTACTGTGAATATATGCGCATAAATAACCAAGTTTTCTATGATTATCTATAAATTTTATTGTAATTGTTTGATTCAGCCAAAATCAAAGAGCCTTCAACGTTTGTTTTCATCTGTGTTTTCAAGTATTTTTAACGCTCGTTAGTTTATTCTGTCAACTTTAAATCTTCAGATATTTTTTTGCATGTTACATGTCATGTAATATCACTTAATTAATGATATATAAACAAAATTTATATATAGATATAAAAATATGGTGTGGGTTATTTTGATACATCCACTTGGAAATAAAAGATAATGCCACTGCCGCATCTATATGGGGTTTCTTAAAAAAATTGTTTGCTTATTATTTTTCTATATCTTAATTTCAAATTAACATTGCATTTAACATACTGCTGCTTTGTTTTTAGGACATTACCCATTTGGTGCCCTGTTAATCAAGGGTGGAAAGAGGGTAAAGACTATGTACAAATCTAACCTTTGCATAACTTTTGCAAAGTGCTTGGTTTCAAATCCTAAAAATATAAGTTTTGCATAATTTGTGCAAAGAGGCTGGTCTAGCCTAAAGCCTACATCTTCATGCTTGCATTAAGCAATGCCCCTTGGTTTTGTTTTTAATAATTTGATTAATATGGCAACATGTGATCTTAAAATTATGTGCAAGCTTTATTCCTTTATTTTCTTTAACGATTCATGTCATACATACACGACTTATGCTACTTCATGACTCCCGTAATGATGATGGAATCAAAAGCTTCTTTCAAGAGGTCCATGAGCTATATATAAAGGTAAGCTTGAGTTTCTACATTTTTTTTATAGCAATTTTTCCGCCACAATTTTTTATTTTTTATATTTTTTGTAAATTCAAAACATTTGGAAAAAAATCATTTTACGTTTTTGCCTAGAAATATTTTATTTTTTGATATTTGCAGCTTAGTTTAATATGCTGAGTTGGTCTAGTATATCGTTCTGGTTTGTCAATTGTTTTTTTAGTATTTTCCTTTTTAACTTTTTCAAATAAAAAAGTTGTTTTTATTATTGGGAAGTTCAGGTGGGGTTTGGATTATTATTATTATTATTTTTGTAAAAACTTGTTAGATCCTTTTGGACGAGAAAGAATTGAAATGTAAAAATGTAAATAATTTTTTTAAAAAAATTCACTAAAAAAAATTGGGGAAAAAATCCAGTTTTTTTAGCACTTGCCAAACAAGGTGGATCTTGTTTAAAAAAGTGACTTTTTTCTCGTGCCACCTAATTCTTAAACTAAGTTGGTCTAGTATGTCATTCTGGTTTGGCAATTACTTTTTTAGTATTTTTCTTTTTTTTTTTACTTTTTCAGAATAATAAATAAGTTGTTTATGTTATTGGGAAAGTTCAAGTGGGGTTTGGATTATTATTATTATTTTTTTTGGTGAAATTTTTATTATTAATTTTTTTTCCAGAAACTTTTTAGATCCTTCTGAACGAGAAAGAATTGAAAAGTAAAAACTTAAATAAATTTTTTTTTTTTTTAAATTCCCTAAAACAAATTGGGGAAAAAATCTAGTTTTTTTAGCACTTACCAAACAAGGTGGATCTTGTTTTAAAAAGTGACTCTTTTCTCGTGCCACCTAAATCAGCACTTACCAAACAGGCAAATATATGTTGCATATATTCGTTGCTTATATAGTGAAAAAGTAGTTTTTTTCAAAATAGTAATCAAACAGAGCCTAAAAAGTAAAAAAGGTCCCTGTTTAGGCCCCAATTAGATGGGAGTCTGGGAAGAGTAGATTGGGTATATATAGACCTATGTTACTTGAAACATGGATCATTCTAGTACCTCGAACGAGAACGGGAAAGCGGTATGTCACATGCTCTAAATTGTAGTTCAATATGGTAGACTTGTATAATTTACACTACAAGAATGCAAGGTGCTTCTAGTCTAGAGTTTTTTTTATTATTTATTTATTTATTTTAATACAATAAGACATCCATTGAAATGTGGGCTTTTTTTCAAATTAATGATGTAGCAAAACATTTCTAAGAGTATTATGACCCATTTTTTATGTTTTGTCATGTCAAAACTTCATTCACCTTAGATTTTAGTTGATTAAATTTGATCTTTTTACTCCTAGGAAACTTTAAGGAAATACATTGGAAAAAAAAATTAGAATCGCTTTGGATCACTAAATTTATCATTTTGAAATGAAAGTGTACAAGTTTCAAAATGTGTGTTCCAAAACTTAAGTGTTTTCTGGTAACACTGGTATAGACCTAATTTTTGGCATAATTTGCACCAAATCTATACTTAGACCCCCATCTTCTAATGGGGACTAAAGTGGGTGTACTTTTTTTAATTTAGGGATTGTCTGGGATGACCTAAATAAGTGCACTTTTTGTCTTTTTACGAAAAGATGTGCAGAAAAGTAGAGAGGTGATGTGATGGAATCTCACCTACTCCACTAAACCTAACCCACTACACCACTACCATCTCACCTACTCCACTAAACCTAACCCACTACACCACTACCATCTCACCTACTCCACTAAACCTAACCCACTACACCACTACCATCTCACCTACTCCACTAAACCTAACCCACTACACCACTACCATCTCACCTACTCCACTAAACCTAACCCACTACACCACTACCATCTCACCTACTCCACTAAACCTAACCCACTACACCACTACCACCTCACCTACTCCACTAAACCTTCCCCCACTTAAACCTACTCCACTAAACCTAACCCACTACACCACTACCACCTCCACTCACCTACTCCTTACCTACTACACACTCACCCTCTTCTATATATAGGAATCATGAATCATTGTAATAGATATCAAAATAAACATCAATCAATAATACATAAATTTTTACAATTAATATGGCAACATGTGATCCTAAAATTATGTGCAAGCTTTATTCCTTTATTTTCTTTAACGATTCATGTCATACATACACGACTTATGCTACTTCATGACTCCCGTAATGATGATGGAATCAAAAGCTTCTTTCAAGAGGTCCATGAGCTATATATAAAGGTAAGCTTGAGTTTCTACATTTTTTTTATAGCAATTTTTCCGCCACAATTTTTTATTTTTTATATTTTTTGTAAATTCAAAACATTTGGAAAAAAATCATTTTACGTTTTTGCCTAGAAATATTTTATTTTTTGATATTTGCAGCTTAGTTTAATATGCTGAGTTGGTCTAGTATATCCTTCTGGTTTGGCAATTGTTTTTTTTAGTATTTTCCTTTTTAACTTTTTCAAATAAAAAAGTTGTTTTTATTATTGGGAACTATGTAGCACGGACACGGACACGGGGCACGACACGGACACGCAGACACGCAAACAGATGGTATCTTTGGATTTCAGAAGAATCTTTAATGTAGTACATAAACAGATGGTATCTTTTTTGAATTTTTAATGTAGTACATAAACAGATGGTATCTTTGGATTTCAGAAGAATCTCACTCTACATGGATTTTACTCTTACTTTGTAGATCCATCCTAAGTAGTTACAATTCCAAATTTTGTTTAGTGGCTCTCTGGATTTCAGAAGATATGGGGAAAGGAAAATAAAGGAAAATGCTGGGGTACGCTAAAAAATAGATTCCCCTTGGAAGCAATCTTAGGCACTTTGAAGCTTTTATCTTGTGCTGACTTGCTACACTACTAGTACCCCAGATTCTACTTTTCCAATATATAACCTTATCAATTCTCTTCCTCCATCACCAATATGGTACTTTTAGCTCTTCACGAACACATTTGTACAAAGATGTCAGCTAGCATACCTTGCAAACTCTGTTGGCTGTACAGGGTAGTTCAAGCTTCCCTACATGTGCTTCAACATCTTCCTCATCTCCGTGCCCACCTTGAAAAAGAAAATTCAAATATACTTATTTTAAGTCCTAACACGCCTGTCTTTTTCCATCATTTTCAAACTTATATTCAATTTCCAGTACCATATGAACATGTCATTTCTTAGTTGCTAAATGCTCCATATACTGTGCATTTTAGAACAGTTTTTTCCTTTGGTCTGTTGAAAGCCCATTGGCATTGTGATGGACATGCAGACAAGTAATTAAATACTAAACACAACAGAGTGAAGTTAGAACATCCTTCAAGTTGATTTTGTCTTAATGGACCAAATGTGGTTGTTTTTGTTTAAATTATTATGAAAATTAATTTAAATTTCTTTATTAAACAAATAGAGAAAGTTTAATATACTTTAAATAGCTGTTAATGCATACTTCCAGAATTTCATAATCTGGTTTGGCGTGGGCATATTTTGGTTAATTGGTGTTGTCTGTGTTGTGGTGATGGGAAATCGGTGGACCATTTGCTGATTCATTGTTCAGTAGCTCACCGTTTGTGATCGCTTGTTTTTTCCACTTTTGGAGTTGTGTGGGTGCAACAGAAACGGGTGATGGAGATGCTTTGGAGTTGGAGTGGGGGCCAAGTTGGGAAGCGGCGTCGTAAGGCTTGGGCTTTGGCCCCTCTGTTGCTATGGTTGGAGCAGGATCGGCATGTTTTTCAGGAATTGCTCGTTCTGCTTCTTGGTTAGAAGATAGATTTTTGCGAGACTTGTGTGGTTAGGTGTCAGGACGTGTGATTGTTTACCTTTTTAGATCCCTTGATGATGTAATTGGCTAGTTTGTGTTTTCTGGAGGACTCTTTTGTATTCTTTAGCATCTTCTTGATGCTATTTTTCAATAATATTTCAATTATCAAAAAAAAAAAATGCATACTTCCAAAATTCATGGCAATGAGCATGCTACATAAGTTTCTTTGTGAATAATTGAACTCCTGTTTGTCTGATATAGTTTTTTTACTAAAATGTTCATTTATCGTACGGTTGGAAATTTGCAGATTCTTCTGAATCCACTCTACCTACCTGGCTCTCGGATTACGTCATCTCATTTTGCTACGAAAGTTCGAGCCCTTGCAAGAAAATATCTCTGAGGCCATTTTGCTATCTACCAGAGGCAAGAGCTTGGTAATATGGAATGAGGTTTGCAGTACTCCAAATTAACAATTAAATCTCTGTGACTTGATCTTGCATTTGTTTGAAGTACGTCCGATGAGTATCAAGGCATTTTGCCTCTGATGATTTCCGTTTGATGACCATATGGTACGATTGCAGTTTGAAATCTCTAGTTTATTCTATGAAAGAGCTATGTAGTCATATCATAGTCTTTATTCTATATGATAATGATTTGGCCTATATATTCAATTTTTCATTATTTTCATTTGGCATTAGGTCTGTTTGACATCATTTTCAGGTCTGTTTGATATCATTGTTATTGCTTTGTCTTCATTATCAATTTTTTGTTTTATTTTTTTGTTTTTTTTATTTTTTTTTTTTAATGAAAATGGTGGAAAATTGAAAATACTTTTTTTCTTAAATAATTTTATGAAAATGAATTATTTGTAGTAAAAAAAAAGTCCAAAAAATGCATGATCGACACCTTAAACGTTTGGGCTCCATATGGAACACGCACAGGCAACCGTAATTGATGAATTATTGGTCAATATCTTATCTTGATCAGTATAAAATTGTTAGCGAGGACCGTGTCTTAGTATAGAGGCACGATTAAATGCTCCTGGGTCAATGTCTCACAGCACACGTGTGAGCATTGAGACATTAGCCCGAGAACATAACATAAAAATCATTCAATGTATTTCATGTGCGGAGATTAAGAGTTGTATTTCATGTGCCAAGATTAAGAGTTGTTCTGATAGATAAGTTGCTCTTTTTTTTGTCAAATATGATGTTTGGTTCCGAGTGTTCTTACACTTATGATCCATGTTCTGGGCCAGGATTGATGTAGGGTTTGTGTAGAGCAGAGCATAATAGACGGCGACTGATCTAGGGTGCATCATTCTTTTGGTATACCTGACTTGCATTTTAAAAAGTTTATTATCAGTTATCTCTTTCAAGGTCAATAATTGTGGGGGGTTGCTTTTAATTTATTTGTAAGATTGTTAGTGGTCACATTTTCCATGGCCATATGGGGTCCTATCCTTAGCTATACATTCAATCTATTGATGTGATTGGAAGCACCAATATGCATGTATTTAGGCTATTTTTAACGGTTCATTAAATTTTACATCATATTTGAAATTTAGTAAAAAAGTTATTTTTTTGAGTTCTAATGGTTTCAACAAATTGGTATCAAATTGAGAAAACATCAAAGGTTTCACCAAATTGATGACGTCTTGCTCCTTTCACCAATTTACTGTGCATTACGGGTGCAATTCGGGCGGGTTCGGTCGGGTTGAGAGGTTGTCCAAATCCAGCCCAAGTTGTGCTGAGACCTGCCCAAGCCCGAATTGTAACCCGAGGTTGTCTGTCCAAGTCCGACCCGAATTAAACTCGAATTGCCTATATTGTAAATGAATTTCAGTTTTTTTTTTTTTTTTTTGCAACTATGTTATTAAATTATTAAAATTTGACTCTATTTACAATTTTTTTTAATAGAAAATCATAAATACCATCAAAACAAATAATTTATATAATGTAAGAGAGATGTCACTATAGTAGTCTTTACAATTTATGAGTGAAAATAAAAAGAAAAAAAAAGTAAGATTTTATGTTATTTGTATATATAATATATATTCAATATGATTTAATAATATAAATTACTTTAATATCATGTAATGACTAATAATTTATATGTATATTTAATATTTTTATATATCTATATATGTATAATTCGGGTTTCGGGTTACTCGGGTTGTGTGACGTCTTTGCCCAAGTCCGCCCAAATTTAATTCGGGCTTCTGAATTTTTGCTCGAGTCCGTACCAAATTTGAAAATATTTTGTCTAAATCTTAAAAAAATTCAGGTTGGGCTCGGGTTGAGCCCGCCCAAGTTGCACCCCTACTGTGCATAGCCGTTAAAACAGAAATTTGTAAAATTTTTACACTAAGTGGTCGATCACCTGGTCGACCACCAGGTTGACCAACCGGTCGATCGGTTCATTCAAAAACTGGCTTGCGAACTGGTTTAAATAATTCAAATTACTAGTTCAAACGGTTCAAAAAAAATTTATAAAAAAAAAATTGGCCTTACCAATCGACTGGCCGGTCAACCAACTAGTCGACTACTTCCCTTTTGATGTACAGTTGGAGGAAGCTATATCAGATTGAGAAAATTAACTTTTTTTTATTCAAATTTAATGAAAATTTTAATTCACCGTTGGAGATGCTCTTATACCTCATTTTTTTTGGTTACTTTCTCAATGTTATGAACCCTTTTTCTCTGAAATTTCGTTTGTCATTCTATACTGATCCCCACTTTATACTCAACGCTCAATGAGTACGTTTATATCACATTTAGCCTCCGTTTGGGAAGTGGGTTGACTTTTTGACTTTTTGGCTATTTTAACCTGGGCTATTTTAGCCTAGTTTGGGAAGGATTTTTTGATTTTTTGACTTTTTTGACTTTTTTTGTGAGAGAGGATTGTAATAATTATGGGTTGGATTTGATGTTTTGTTTTTTGTGGCTAAAATAACCTATTTTATTTTTTGTGGCTATTTTAGCCAAAAAAGCCTGGACTTTTTCTTCCCAAACAGATTAATTTATCATCAATCTAATGTAATGGTAGTTGATATGTCACATCACATAACAAAATAAATGTGTTATATCTAACATTATTGTTTATTTTCTAGCTTCATTTGTGACAATAAAAATAATAACACCAAACAGAAATGCTACTTTTCTAGTATTATATAGAAAAGCAAATGTTAATAATTTGTTAGTGTAATTAACTATGTACTTTAATCATTAATGTTTCAAAAATTATTTTTGAAAAATAGTTTTTATATTTTCTTGTGTTTGATATGATGAAAAATAAAAGTTTACAAAAAATATTTTAAAAGATTAATAGAAAACAAGTTTACTTATGCCAAAAATGATAATCATTTTTAAAATATTTTTTACCATATGATATCATCACTGTCACAACTATTATTACCACCATTGATATTTTTGTTTTACTCCTTAGCCTATGGGATTGGATTGAATTACCAATCCCGTGGTCTAACAAAAATCATATTTAGTTGGGAAAATTTCACGAGACTAAGAATACCCTCTAGCATTGTGGAAGTGATATTGTTAATCCAACCTCATGGAATTATAGATGAAAAGATTGTTAGCCCGTAATTTACAAAAACAAAAGTTACCTCTTATATAGTGAGGCTTTGTACGTAATTTCATAGATATAATTCCAATTGATATTATTAGCGCACAAATATATACAATATATTTTACATCTCTAACTTAAAATCTCATACTAGTATTCTCCTTACTTAATCAAGATCTTTGGCCTATTGGTTGTGTAGGTTCAATTCTTATGGAGAACAATTTGATATTTGTGGTGTTTATTTTTTGGATAGTTACGAGTAAGTCCTATAGACCAGACTTACATATCAAAAAGTCCTACTCGGTCCTACTTTAATATATAGTAATAAATTTATTGATGTAAATTTAACTATTTACATTTTTTACATCATATTTCAATACAAATTAATAAACTAAAAATAAATCAAAACTTATAAACAAAAGTCAAAATATGTTAATCATTTATCATTTTGATAAATTTATCTCTGTAATTACCAATACTTTGAGCCTGTTTTGGAAACCTGACTAAAAGTTATTTTTTAACTTTTAACTTATTTTGAGTCACATCATATTTTTATTTTTTTATTCATTTTTAAAAAAAAAGTAAATAAAAAAATATATATATATCAAAAAGTCTACATTTAACCTACTGTCCAAAACAACTCTTCCATAAACAAAAAACACATTTAAAGTCTTAAAATTTTATCATTATCAATATAGGAGGCAAATTAAAAAAAAAAAAAAACACTTGTTAGTCAATAATCTATTCATAGAATCTGTTGGTAATTATTCCTTTCTCGATTAGGAGGTTTGTATAATGTAGCATTTGTTTGTAAACAAACACCCCCTTAATATATTAACCATTTTAAGGCCCATTTACAATGTGCATGAGAGCAAAAACCCAAAAAAAAAAAGAGACAAAATGGGTGACAAAAGCGCTTAACTAATTTCTTGGCTCCACACACTGCAAAGCACACAAGTTCTTATATGCCCAAATTGGCACCATATTAGTCAGATCACACGTGTTTTGCAACAAGACAAAGTAGTATAGAATATCTCATTAAACATGATTTTTTCTTCTTATTTTTACCAAATTTACACGTAAGAATTGCGTGGTCTTTCTATTTCAAATCAAATTACTTTAAAAAAGGAAAGAGAGAGGATAGAGAAAGAGTGATTGATTAATATGTAGGAGAGAGAAAGTGATTTTGAAATTTGTTTTCAAAACCATTAAACCAAACAAAATTTTAAAAAAAATTCTCTAAAATTACTTTTTCAAAAACAAATCAAACAAGGCCTACGAATCTGCGCTACTTAACAATTCATACATGGGTCATACAATCTTTTTAACAAGGAGTTTTGCTAAAGCAAATTGAAAACTTTTAAATAGGGAAGATTATGATTCACACCTTTTAAAAGAGGATATCATATGTATTTTATTAAAAAAATGGTATAATTTTATATTTTTTGAATTATAATTAAAAAAATCATAACTAAATAATACATAAGATATAGTAACAAAATATCTCATAAGTCACAATCAAAATAAAGTCGTAATTAATTAAAAAACTGACATAACTAATAGGTGCGTAGGGTAGGAAGTGGATAGTAGAATTTTCCCTTTTAAATTTAGGATGTAGCTTGTGTCCAGTTTATAATCAGATTAGACCGTACTATTAGGTCTTGTGAGCTCATCACAGAATTCATATTGATAATCTGAATCATTTAATGTGTAAAATTCGTTGAGTACTTTATTCCTGTAAAAAATTATATTGATTTATATCGATAGTTATTTGATCATACCATATTTTTGTCAACATTCAGTATGATTTAAAAATATATATATTGTTAACAAAAATATAATCTGATCAAGTAACGATAGATATTCAATAAATATGATTTTTTATAAAAATAAAATACTTTACAAACTTTATATATTGAATCATTTGAGTTATTGAAGTGAAATTCATAATGGGCTCACAAAGACCCACTAATACGATCTAATCCGAAGCTGGACGGAAGACCAGCTCCTATGCAGTCATTACCGTTGTCAGATCGCAAACTGTTTTTGAAAACGTTTCTTTTTAGATAAGATTTCCACATATATACTCTCATGTTTTTTAATAAACACTTTTTAAGGTCAAGTTTGGAAAGACTAAAAAAATGTACTTTTTGTCTTTTTAGATTAAAACATTGAAGTTGAAAATATGGATGTTTGGGTTAACTTTTTGACTTTTTATTGAAAAAGCTGTAATAACAAACAATTTGGTAAAAATTAATATTTGTAGGGAAAAAATTTGAATTGGGAGTTGTGCAGCCGTAATTGTTGACTTTTGATGAATAGTGTTAACTTTTTAACTTTTTGAATAACTTTTGACTTTTTGACCTTTTTTTAAAATCTCCAAATTGGCCTTATTTTCTAAAATTAATAAAAATATTTTTGCATATAATAAAATGTTAAATTACACCCTCGTGAAATTAAAAAAAAAAAATGAATACAAAAATTCTCATAATTTTAAAAAATTATATTATTCTCTCTTATAATTTTAATTAATATAATATTTAAAATTAAAAAAATGACGTTATCACTTCACACTGAAATATATATTAAATTTATAAGATTTATTATTATATTTTTTTCTTAATCTCAGAAATGGCGACATAATTCATCCAAAATAAAAACAATCGAAAGCCTGTTTTTAAAGTTTTATTATTTTTATATTTACTATTTTTTTAAAATACAAAATATATAAACGATGTCATGCAAGTATTTTCCACAACTCCCTCGTGATTTTGTCTGATGAATCCCGTCAAGTCGCGGTTGGTAAAAAATTGATGATCTAACAACATTTATAAATATAATTTATTTTAGTTTCGGCCTCTTTAATTTTATTAAAAAAATAATTTATATAATTATATCTAAATTAAAATTATAAAATTTGTTATATTTTTCTAAAATTTAAAAAAAAATTAATGTATTTACCTTAAAAAAATTATATTCTACAAATTTTATATAGAATTTATACGGATGCGGACAAAGTCATTTGTATAATTAAAGTAAAGTGATTGGCTTCAAATCTAATTAAAATCATTATGTATATAATTTTTTTTAATATCATTATTATTCTGATAATTATTCAAAGAAAAACAAAAATCAAAAAATAAATAGAACTTATCTCAAACTCACCAAACCCAATTATAATAAAAAAGCAAACAATCACCAAAAGTTATCAAACTCCCACAATGTGACACCATCAAATGGTGCTACACAATTTCAATTCTTCAAATTTTAAGCTTAGTTAATGAATGGGTTTCCTCCTTATCTCCAATTGAACGATACGAATTAAAATTAAAAAATTAAACAACTAAATAAATGTAATTAATTTTAAAAATAAAAATAAAATTAACTTCCTAATCATGAAACAATATCCAATTTCAATTAGATAATTATGAGGGAGACCATAAAGAGAGAGTTTCATAAATTGGATCTTACTTTTTTGTACAACAAAATCCTCCTCAAAAGCTCAACCAAACCAACAAAATATATATATATATATATCCACATATAATTAATAAAATTACATCCACCAACCAAACCACAAACCTAAATTGAAACTAAAAACATGAAGCATGAAAACAACAAAAACAATTTCCCTAATAATTATTTTATTGAGATTTGACTTTAAAATGTAACCAAACCTATAGAACAACAAACAACACTACAAGGACCAATCATCATCATCCACGTAATCACCGGAGACTATGTTCTATGCTTACCGGACTTAGGTCGGCGACGAGTCTCGCCGTTTTTCCCAAAAGCACTGCAAAATCCACACGCAGAGAGCCTTGGAGAGGGCGGCTCAATCGCCGGCGAAACCTTGCCGGTGCGGAAGCCTCGTCCGCCGCCGTTGGATCGGCTGCGTTCGATTGATCCAACGGCTACCGAAAGTTTCGCGTCTTTGATCTGCTGATCTTGATGATGTTCTTCTTGTTCGTCTTGTTGTTGATGGTCTTGAGATTTGATTTCGTCTTCTCTTTGTGCTCGATTCAATTCTCCTAGAAATTTATCGTCCCATACCAGTCCTGATGAGCCTTGCCTCCTGAACGAGATTTCAGATCTCTGCAACCCAGCCATCTCTCTCTCTCTCTCTCTCTAGAAATTTATTCGGTGAGGATCAGTGTGAACTCCAAACTCCGCTGATTGTTGTTTATGACTTCTCATATATAGGGTGTTTAGAAATTGGTTTTTTTTTTAATAATTTTTAATTTTTTTTATAATTTAATAATTTATAATAATTTTTTAATTAAAATTTTAAATTTTAAAATGAGTCATAATATAAATTATTTATTCTATTATATATGAAGTGTACAATTCCGTGAATAGCGTCAATTTTTTTTATTTTTTTTTTAGCGGTACCCGACGGTGTCGTTTGGTAACACTTACGTTTTCAATTTTCAGTTTATATTTACAAAAATTTTAAAAATTTAAAAAAATATATGTTTGGCGTCTTAGTTTATAAATTTGGCCAAAAAATGTAAACTCAAAAAATGTGTTTTCGTTTTCAGTTTTCAGTTTTCAGGTTTTTTTTTTTACCACCCACCGCAATGGTATGTTCAATTCTCCTTATTTAAAACAAAATTTAAAATTCAGGTTAAATGTGTCACAACTGAAAAGTCAGAGACTAAAGTGACATGAGTTCCAAACTATAGGAGCTATTAGTGTAATTCACCCTCTAAATAAATATATTTTTTAACTTTTAAAAAAATATACAAAATCTAAAAAAATAATATGACATAAAAATATTAAAAAAATAAAAAATACACTTTTTTATGCACCCAAACAACTTCATAAAATGCTAACGGTGATATTACATATATTAAACCACCCATTCGCTACCACCCACTATCCCGCCACCGTCACCCATCCACCCGCCACCACCCACCACCACCATCTACCCACCACCCACCGTCACCACTTTCCACCACCCTCTTCCGCCGCCACTTGCCATCACTTGCCATTTTTCACTCTTTTTTATATTTTTAAATTTTTTAAAACATTTTGTCTAAACCAAACACGTTTGTAGTTTATGTTTTTCTAAAAATAAACAAAAACTAGTTTATAAAATATTTGTAAATATAAACTGAAAACGTAAACGTTACCAAAGAGGTCCTACATGTTTAATAACCACTAAAAGTATTATATAAATTGATAAAATTATTAAATGAATTAGGACATTTGTGAAAAACAAACAGTATAACACTAAGGCTTGGTTTGGGAAGTGGGTTGACTTTTTGGCTTTTTAGGCCTCGTTTGGGAACAGGCTAATTTAGTAACTTTTTGGCTATTTGGCTAAAAAGGTAGGTAAAAAAAACTTGTATGTTTTGGATGACTTTTTGGCTAATCACAAAAAGATGTGCAAAAAGTAGAGAGAAAAGAGAATCTTTGACTTTTTGGTATGGGTTGTTGGCTTTTTGGCTAATTTAGTAACTTTTTGGCTAATTGCCTAAAATAGCCTCTTGCCAAACGAGGCCTTAGTTTTTTTTTGCTATTTCAGCTTGGGCTAAAAAGCTTGGTTTGGGAATGACTTTTTGACTTTTTGGCTTTTTTGACTTTTTTTGTGAGAGAAGAGTGTAATGATTATGGGTTTGATGTGATGCTTTATTTGTTGTGGCTAAAATAGCCTATTTTGTTTTTTGTGGTTAAAATAGCCAAAAAAGTCTCAAATCTTGCTTCCCAAACGGTGCCTACTAGAGACACCGGGTACTATTTTGACAATTAGGTTAGATTAGTTTTTTTATTTTTAGTTTTTTTTGTGTCATTATATTTTTATTTTTTTACACGTTTTTTAAAAAAATTAAAAAATTAATATTTAATCTACTCTCAAAATAGACACGGTGTTTGATAATTTTTTTGATAGATTATCTAGTGTTTAGCATTTTTTGTAACACCAATTCGGATGTACCCTTTATATATGATATTAATATAACGGAATATTTTGATAAGTAGATTAAAAATTGACTTTTAAAATTTTTTTTTTTAAAAAACGTATAAAAAAGTAAAGAGGCAATATGACCCAAAATATGGGGTAATTCTATTTCCACACACCAAAACATCTCATTCAACATCCTTTCTCAATACACTTACCAACTACTTTTGAATTTTGTGATTTTACTCAATACACAACCATTTTTGCCAAAAATATCCATTTCTTTGACATTAAAACCCTAAACTAACATCCATTTGTAAGTGTTGTTTCTTCTCCCATGCTTTGGTCTTGAAAAGAATTTTCATCATGTATAACATTGCAAAAACTCTGTTATAACTCTATTATACAAGGCCAAGAAGTTCATTGCAGAAACTAGGGTTTGAATCGGACACTTAGGATTTGATTGTGATGAAGCCAGTGGCCGAAGAAGAGGTTGATCTTGTGAAAAGAGTAAGAGTGTGAGAGGTTGTGATTGGTGATTAGCGTTGGAAGTTTGAGTTTGGAAATCAGGAAATTGAAGCCCCGATTCTTGAAGATTGGAGGTGAAGATTTGGAAATTTGACAATGATGTTGATTGAAGAATGTAAGGAGTGATTGCTCAGGTGTGGAACAGAGTAGTAATATAGTATAAATGATAAGAACAGCAGAAGGCATAATATATATGATGAAGAGAGAGAGGTGTATGAGTTAGGAGATGGAGATCAGTGTGGCTGCCATAGATCCTGAGCTTCGAACGATGAGAGGAGATTAAGAAATTAGGATTTTGGTGGAGAATATAAGAATACTTTAATAATTTTATTTTAGGATAAAACTGTAATAAAAAAATAAATCATTAAGTGTGTGTACAGAGGTAGATAGGTGTCTGGAAATAGAATTTCCCCAAAATAGGTTTAAAACTAAAAAGTGACTTTTAGCTAAGTTCTAAAAATAGGCTAATATATATAGGTAAAAAGTATATAAATATGTATATATATAGAGGGGTATTTTGGTAACACACTAAAAAAAGTTAAAAGCAAGCTTTGAATCCATTTTAGGCCACATCACATCTCAAATGAAACAATAAAAAAAGTTAAAAAAATTAAATTTTAACTATCTTTTCAGAGAGAGAGAGAGAGAGAGAGAGAGGGGTAACTATAGGCTAGTTAGGAATTGGTCATAAGATGGCAACTTAGTCAAATCTCTTTATTTTAAATCATTTTGTTTAGTGTTAAACAAATAGTGATTGAGGGAGTCATTTGCTTAATCACGCCAAGAAAATATTTTAATGTTTTTCATATGCACAAAAAGGCATAAATTTAGTTTGATACAGATCTGATTAACATTTTTTTTTTCTTGTGTGTTAGAAAAATAGTATACAAACAAATATGATTTTTATAGGGAATGATATGTCAGTGGAATCTTTAATTTATAACTCAAAATTAAAATGTTTTAATTTTTTTTTTTTTGAACACTAAAATGTTTTAATTTGAAATGAATTTACTACACGGTATTACATTGTGTATGAAAGTTTGTAAAAAAAATACTATTTGTATATCATTTATTATTTTTACTAATATTTTATAGGTATACTTTTTTTATAAATCTCTTTTAATCTACTTATGTTTCATTTAGTTTACATTATTTTCTTATATTCCAATAAATCTTATGAGTGACATAGTTACCAAAATGTCCCTAATAATATTCACATTTACAGTGTAAATGTTTATACCATCAATGTGAATGTTAATATGTCAATGTGAACATTTACACGTCAATATAAATATTCATATTGTAAAATATGAATATTCACATCACCAAATTGTTAACCGTTCAAAAAATATTTGTAAGGGTAGAAATATTCAGAAAATACCTTAAATATAAGAATTAGGATTTGGTAGATCAAATGTCAAAATAATAGGACTTATTAAAATATAAGAATATCCTTTGGACTAATTGAAATACAAACACTTAAAAATGATTTTTTAATAAATTTTCCTATTTTATATATAATAAATTGTATTTGTTCCAAAGCCGCCTTGATTTAACCAATAAATCAATGATTATTGGTTTTTTTTTTTTTTTTTTTTTTTTTTTTGGTGGTTTTGTGGTTTAAAAAAAATTGAGCATACATTGCAATTTATGTTTCCTAATTAGACAAAAGTAAATTAACTTTGAAATTGTTTCATTTATCTATTATTTGGAAGGATAATTTAATTTACACACCATCAATTTTTTTCAGTATATACCATTACTTAATATACATATATAATAATTTTTAAATTATAAAAATATCTCAGTTCACACCATAGTTTTCCTTTTTTAACCCTAAGCTAATAGATTGGTGCACACCACAACCAATCTGTTCAATTTTTTATATATAAATATTTAATATTTGATCGACTTCAATAATTTGAACAAAATAATTTTGTTCAAATGTAAATAATTGAACATTTTATAAATGTTCAACTCTGGTTATCCGAATACGTGACAAACGAATACACCATCTTCTATACGAATGAGACAAACAAAAAGGTAAACTAACCTTTTCATTGTTGTATTGCTTCAAATCAATAATCTGAGTGCCCTCCATAGTATGCAAATTTTCAAAATTAATTGATTTTAATGTTCTTAAAACCGTAAATTTTGAAAGGCAATAACATTGTGAGTTTGGAAAATAATGGTGAAGATTATAATGATAAAGATAATGACTGTAGTGTATTAGATTATAATGGCAAAGATGAACAGTGTTGGGAGAGAGATTTGTTCCAAAAGATATAGTGTATAGGTGATGATGTATAAAAAGGTATTTGTGTTTTTATATGTAGATTACTTGAATGAGTACATATGCATTCATATTATTCTTAATAATCATTTTACTTGAAGGTATTATTAAATAGTATGTACTAAAAAGATTCATGGTGTTTAAATAGAATCTCCCAATTTGAAAACATTCCAGTATATTGCAATGATTTTTTCAAGTTGAAAAATATATTATATAAAGGATTATGGGGTTGCTTTATTTGCATCCTAAAAATTAGGTTGACTACGCTAACTTAATGAAATTTTTTTATTACTATTATAAAATGATTAAAAATTACTTGATATTGAAAAATTATAAATTAAAGTATTTTGAACACTTCATTCATAATCAATCCCCATCTTTCCTTAT